TCCAGATCCGGAAAGAAAGGAGTATCCAATGCATAAAACGTCAACTCTAGTCCAGCTCCGGAAAGAAAGGATAAACTAACGCATAACACGTCAACTCTAGACCAGATCCGGAAAGAAAGGAGTATCCAATGCATAAAACGTCAGCTCTAGTCCAGTTCCGTTCAGTTCCGGAAAGAAAGTAGCATCTAACGCATAACACGTCAGCTCTAGTCCAGTTCCGGAAAGAAAGGAGTAACTAATGCATAACACGTCAACTCTAGTCCAGCTCCGAAAAGAAAGGATAAACTAACGCATAACACGTCAACTCTAGACCAGATCCGGAAAGAAAGGATAAACTAACGCATAACATGTCAGCTCTAGTCCAGTTGCGGAAAGAAAGGATAAACTAACACATAACACGTCAGCTCTAGCGCAGTTTCGGAAAGAAAGGATAAACCAACACATAACACGTCATTTAAATCCTGTTCAAGAAAGCATAAATCGTCTCCTAGGATCACATAAACATGAATTACAACTAAAACAAAGGGTGCATATCAAGATTCCGTCGGTAATTGAAGCCCATGTAAAATAAATTTGAGTTCAGTCTACTAGCAAACCTTCAGAGCAGATGTTGACAGTCCATGTACCACATATGGTAAGCCAACTAACTTTTAATGGTGAACAGAAGTTTTCATCTACTTTAGGAGACATCGCATGAAAAACAATATAATAAAGATACCGGTAAGGACACATCGCATCGAATACAATGTTATTAAAATACCGGTAGGAGAAATCGCATGGAATACAATGTCATTAATATACCGGTAAGGACAAACCACATGGAATACAATGTAATTAAAATACCGGTAAGGACACATTGCATGGAATCGATGTAATTAAAATACCGGTAAGGACACATCGCATGGAATACAATGTAATTAAAATACCGGTAAGGACACATCGTATGGAATACAATGTAATTAAAATACCGGTTAGGACAAACCACACGGAATACAATGTCATTAAAATACCGGTAAGGACACATTGCATGGAATCAATGTAATTAAAATACCGGTAAGGACACATTGCATGGAATCAATGTAATTAAAATACCGGTAAGGACACACCGCATGGAATACAATGTAATTAAAATACCAGTAAGGACACATCGCATGGAATACAATATAATTAAAATACCGGTAAGGACACATCGTATGGAATACAATGTAATTAAAATACCGGTTAGGACAAACCACACGGAATACAATGTCATTAAAATACCGGTAAGGACACATTGCATGGAATCGATGTAATTAAAATACCGGTAAGGACACATCGCATGGAATGCAATGTAATTAAAATACCGGTAAGGACACATCGTATGGAATACAATGTAATTAAAATACCGGTTAGGACAAACCACACGGAATACAATGTCATTAAAATACCGGTAAGGACACATTGCATGGAATCAATGTAATTAAAATACCGGTAAGGACACATCACATGGAATACAATGTAATTAAAATACCGGTTAGGACAAATCACATGGAATACAATGTAATTAAAATACCGGTAAGGACACATTGCATGGAATACAATGTAATTAAAATACCGGTTAGGACAAATCACATGGAATACAATGTAATTAAAATACCGGTAGGGACACATTGCATGGAATACAATGTAATTAAAATACCGGTTAGGACAAATCACATGGAATACAATGTAATTAAAATACCGGTTAGGACAAACCACATAGAATACATGTACAATGTAATTAAAATACCGGTAAGGACACATCAGATGGAATACAATGTAATTAAAATACCGGTAAGGACACATCGCATGGAATACAATGTAATTAAAATACCGGTTAGGACAAACCACATGGAATACAATGTAATTAAAATACCGGTTAGGACAAACCACATAGAATACATGTACAATGTAATTAAAATACAGGTAAGGACACATCAGATGGAATACAATGTAATTAAAATACCGGTAAGGACCCATCGCATGGAATACAATGTAATTAAAATACCGGAAAGGACACATCGCATGGAATACAATGTAATTAAAATACCGGGAAGGACACATCACATGGAATACAATGTAATTAAAATACCGGTAAGAACACATCACATGAAATACAATGTAATTAAAATACCGGTAAGGACACATCGCATAGAATACAATGTAATTAAAATACCGGTAAGGACACATTGCACGGAATACAATGTAATTAAAATACCGGTTAGGACACATCGTATGGAATACAATGTAATTAAAATACTGGTAAGGACACATCGCATGGAATACAATGTAATTAAAATACCGGTAAGGACACATCACATGAAATACGATGTTATTAAGATACCGGCAAGGACACATCACATGAATTACGATGTTATTAAGATACCGGCAAGGACACATCTCATGAAATACGATGTTATTAAGATACCGGCAAGGACACATCACATGAAATACGATGTTATTAAGATACCGGTAAGTACACATCACATGAAATACGATGTTATTAAGATACCGGCAAGGACACCTCACATGAAATACGATGTTATTAAGATAGCGGCAAGGACACATCACATGAAATACAATGTTATTAAGATACCGGCAAGGACACATCACATGAAATACAATGTTATTAAGATACCGGCAAGGACACGTCACATGAAAAACGATGTAATTAAGATACCGGTAAGGACACATCACATGACATATGATGTTATGAAGATACAGGTATTAATTTGAGATATTTAGAATAATTTAGATATATCGTTTAATTATAACTACATGATATACCTTAATTATATTTACATTTAAACATATCTTAAATTAAATTACATATTTATTCAATGATACATTTCAATAAAGACACCTATACTATATCTAAAAATATCTTTAGTTCCTTTTAACGACATCACTACATTTACATATATCTCTATCTGAATTTTCTGTATTACATTTGCTTTGCCTCGTTTGTAATTAAATGTTACGTTGGCCGGACATAATGTGAGCATGCGCAGTTTGGCGATCTTCCGTCAATATCGGAAGGTTCGATTTTTATTATAGGTGTATTATATACACGCACTTAAACCCATATTTTAGGAAAACAAACATATGACAGATTTATGCTATTGATTTACAGGTATAAAACAATTATTAAATATTGATACAGACGAGGAAGGAGTCATCTCTGTCATGAAGTGTATACAAACCGACCCGACGTTATAATACAGTTATATCCCCGACAATCACTCTAGGCGCGTATAAAGGCAAAATTGATATATAAATCAGGCAATATTTACCAAAAGTGAATTCGAAACAGTTGGTTTGTTTGAATAGATGGGAGATCGAAGGTGTTGACAACAATCGGCGCTATATTGCCGTATTCACCCATACAAAAACACACTCTCGGGGGAGACTGACAATTGTTTCAAGAATAATGGTTGGAATCAGACAATCAATAACCGGCTTTCATCTACGTTTGGGTTTGTCGACCTCACTTTTCGAGTATCATCATATCAGGTGAAATCGATAGTGCGCTGTTTGGTTGTAATCCCCCACAGGACAGGGACTTGATTGTGTGTCTCAGGTGCGGATGGGTTCGTGATTAACAAGTGGTAATAAGGCTCTGCGAGGAACGTAAACCTTGTCTAAAACACAATGCCGTTATTACACTCTGTCGTCAGCCCTGTCTCTCAAGAGAGTCGTGGCTAGCTCGCGTCAGGTTCCCGCCGACACTAAGTAATTTCTGTGATTGATTTCAAAGAAAATCCCACAAGACAAGAAGAAGTCCAGTCTCCCAACATTCTAACACTGCGCTTGTCGGCTTACTAGACAATGATGCCAAACTTTAGCTTGAGATTAAAGATGAAAAGCGAACAATTGATTCTGTCTGTAAATGTTATTTCTACGCTAGAACTTATCACACTGAGATATCCACAGGGCCGCTAGATGAGGAATGCTCTATATAGATAGTTCCCTGGGGGAGGGCTGGAGCGCGGAACACCACTAGACAACACCTTCTTACCTTTCGGCACTGTGTTCCTCTGATCGTAGACATATTTACCTCAATCTGGCCAGTGATAGACTAAACCTTTGGATTAACTCCAAAAGAAAAAACGTTAAAGTCATTTTTAATTGAACAAGAAACATTATTATAGGTTAACCACTAATTAAAGAGGAAGAGTGGCCCAGGAGCCGTCTAACATCCGCTTATCTCAATTTTTAATGTAGTTTAGACCAAATTAAATGTGGCGGATTATTTAGCGGTCGACACTCTGCATGTCGTATACACATGCCTGCCGATATAAACCCTAGCATGTCGCACTAACTTGTGTTACAGGTATTACCGAGGGTTAAAACTCTGGCCGTTGTACTGCACTAGAAACCTGCATCCTTGATTACATGATCAGAAAAGAAATCATTGTTTGTTATTTATTGGAATATGTAGATGTTTGAATTCCAATATGCAAGATCTGAAAATATCACAGATATATTTTGGATTCGTACAATAATTGTTCGCTGTACACAGATATGCTACATAACATGATACATCAGGCATGTACTGAGCATATTGACGGAATCCATCACAGATTGCGGATTCAGTCTTAAGTTCTTAAATTCAATTTGTCGAAAAACAACTGCTTGTAAGTACACAACAGGGAGATACTACATGGTGTTCCACATACCACACATGTCACGTGATGGTTTGACGTATTGTAATTTACACATATTTTATTGCCATTCAGTAACGACGGGGTTTGGAGGATGTGGAGGAACTGTTTATTTAAAATGTGTTTGGGTCATTTAAGTATTGCTGCGACTCTATGCTCTGCATGCGTATGAAATAGTACAAATACATGTACACAATGAATTCTGCATTACGTCATAAACTTTATGTTTTTAAGTACAGTTGTACTTAATTTACCAGTACAGAGACATAAATATGTTAAATATATTCATGATTAAACTCTCCTTTTTCCAATTTTCAGAAATTTCTGTTAAGCTGTCAAGAGCATCTAAGAAGTGATTGGTGCTAGACTTATTATCGTAGGATTTTCGTATAAAATGGCAAGTCTAAAGAGGTAGGTTATGCACTATTTGTCAAGATTTTGTATGGAGTTTCAACATGCACTTAAAACGGTGAAATATTGAAGCTTTTATTGTCATAGATTGAGGATTATGTAAAGAAACGTCCTTATTATTATTTTGATCATATTTGCATAGATTTGTTTTTCATTGTTTTTCATTGTTTTTCAAGTGTTTTTTTCTCTCTTTTGAGTGACCACAGACCAATAGAAATCTGCACAGAAGTGTCAGTATTAACACATGTCGTGGATATACCTGCCGAATCATCCTAATGTACTGTTAAATAAATACAAAATGAAATAAATCAATTCGAACAATCTCAAACAGCCGATGAAAGATCTCAACTCAATTTAATAATCCCTTTTTATTTTTGAATGATTTCTTTTCTAAAAGGTTGGTTCTATCCTCTGGGGTACAATGTAGTAGGGAATACGTTTAGTTTAGTTTATCAAATCGTTCAGAATATTTTCAATCAGTTTTCTCAGACTTTCATCCCTGACTATATATACCCATTAAAATCATCAGATCATTTCATGTATCTCCAGCAAAGACCAACTGTACGAAATTCAATCACAATCTGATGATTTCATTGAAAGGCCTAACGTGTGTAATTCTGAATTGCAGCCATACAGAAGAAATGAAAAGGTTAGCTCCCATTTATTTTGTTATTTCTACGAATCTTTTAACATTTAGTTTCACGTAGATGTTGGTCCAGCAACCTTCGTTAGTTGTCAATGAAGTTTTGGAACTATATATTATCATGTAATAGAACAACTGTATTTGTTAAATGATCCACAGCCGGATATAGAAATTCAATTTCAATTTAGGGAATAACACGTTTTGAACGAAATCAATTTCTTTTCCACTAAAACTCATCAGTTTTGTGTTAAATAGTATTATCTGATGCTTATTACAAAAAACCCTCGAAAATAAAACACTGTTGCTGGAACCGTTTAGAAACTTGCACGCTTTAAATTATCTTTATATACATTTAATCTTTCGTCCTCGATTTGCTATATATTTTGCGACCAGTCTCTGTAAATGTACGGTTTACAGGTTTAACATCCGTTGTAGCAACTGGCGACGCTAGGTCTCCATTAAATTCCCCGATATATATTATTCAATTTCTTCATGTTGCCGTTGTGCAATATTTTTATGTACCTTTACACTTGCTGTCCTCCAACCACTGATGTGATATTATGAGAATGTAGAGACACTAACTATCAATGATTTCCCGAGTCAGCTTTAGCAAAATATCGTCGTGAACATTGGGTCTACGGCGCTGACCCAGCCACATGGAGAGGAAGGGTCCGCGGCGGGACGTACATCCTTAATGTGGGGGTTCTACAGAAAAACTTCAATGGATATAGTTCTATTTTATGTAAAACTCGCACATGAAACAAATCTGATATTCTCACATGCAATTTGTTTAAGGGCAACTTTAAGGTAAATATGAAAAAAACACAATGCTGATTCCATACATTTTCTTTTTGCTGAGACAAATCAATTTTGGTATGTATGTGTTGGTTTCGGCATTTAGCCTCGTTACGATTGCATAGGAAATTAATCTGTATTTTCCTATCTTACTTTTTCCTAACGAAGTCAGATTAAGATAAAACCACTACAATTCAAAATATCTGATCGGATAGTTGCAGAAACGTGTCCACATCGTAACCACGAGAACGATCATCATTAATTTCAAACCGGTGTCGGTATTGACCACTGTGCTGTTTGAATACTTCCCGTCCCTTAGCGCGCAAAACTGCAGACAACACCAAGCTCACGTTTTGCTATCGTATCATCTTCCACTATTAAAGATTTAAAATGCAAATTATATAGACAATTGGACGACGAAGGCTAAATCTGTTCAATCAAATAAAATTTAAAGGCTGTTTTAGCCTGAATTACTCATTCCTGAAATAACAGAAAACGTCATGGTAGACACGAGACATTGGTACGAAAACCGCGGGAGGCGGATGTTGTCTGAGATGCTAACTTCCGCTTGCGTGATGAAGTATACGCGCATGATCAATCTTAAAAGTAGTGGTATCTTGGGACTTATATCGCATAGGTTGCAATACAATTTAAACCTTTGCGTTTTCAGAGGACTGCACATGGTTGTTGTAGTGTTCTTATCTTGGTAGAATTTAATAATGCTGTAGTCCTTTGAGACAAATTTCTTTCCAACACTCTTGCAAGATCGATTGGGTGAGAAATTCATTGCTCAAACCCCTGGTTATCTCTTGTGTGGTGAATGAAACAGAGCTAATTACTTGGTCGGTGCATTCGTGGGAATACTATTGTTATTACGAGGTAAAACATGTATACTTAATATGTAAAATCGATTGGATATGAAAGCCAAATATTTATTCCTCGCCTTCACTCCCAGGGGGAGCTAGGATCGACCGACCGACGGATTGGTCCTCACAGAAGCGCTTGGTTTCTCAACGGGTCTCCCAGGATTTCCCTAACTGTGGAAGGTAGTCCGTGAATTCAAAGTGAATTCCTGAAACCGTCGGTGATCGATGCGAAGGTCCCTAAGGCACTTTATCGTCATGTTATTGAATATTAAAATAGAAACGTATAACACAGCATAAAGCATCTCCCTCAAATTACAATATTATTAGTTAGTGAATTTGCACCCTCTAAGATCGCAGAAGGTCGAACCAATATTTGTGAAGACGGATATGTTCTCGCCTCCACATTTTTACACGCTGCCAAAGTTGGAGGATCCGTCAGCTGTGTCGGTTTGAAAACCCCTCGGCTACGAGCTGTTGGGAATACCATGAATAAAACATGCATGTTGTGGTTTATCTCATCGTGATGGGGGCTAGGGATGTTATATACAGGGGCCATAAAACAGTAATTAAATAGAGCAAATGGCCCTGTTTAGACGAGGATAATCTAATACCGGAAGGAGAAGGTAATTAGTGATGCTACATAGAAAGCACGAACAATGATTTTATATTGTTGTGTTTGAATTTACATATTAAACTACGACATTCATGTCTTACGGCGGCCATAATTTCCATATCAGCCATTGTTTGGGATAGTTTCGTCTTGAGATGTCTAATTATAGAACCAGGTAATGAAATCATGTCATCATTAAGCTACCCGTCCCCACAGTTACTCGTGCACGTGATACGAAAAGGCTACCGACACTTAAAGCTACACGCTATGCTGTCTATGTGGAATAGTTAATATTCAAACTGGCTAAGACATATTTGACATCAACGTTTCGGAAATATCATTAGGTTCGATTGAAATGCGAGAACAATGACTGTAGTTAAATATTACTGTATTATACATTTAAAGTATGGGGTTGAGGGATACGACCTCGGGAAATAGGCATGGTCACGTGACACCAGAAACTTGCTATATCCCTCAACCCCATACTTTAACCGTTTCATTATACCGATACACTATGGAGAGATAGTTTTAACTAGAAAATATTTGTAGACCATAATCTGTATAGCTTCACGTCCCAACTACCCTTTTGATGGCAATGGAGCCAAACGCTTCCGAGTTTGGTAGCAAGCTCCGCCTACCTCGCTCGTCGCTTCCGAGTTTGGTAACAAGCTCCGCCCACCTCTCGCCTGATTGGCTCGGCGGAAACACCCGAGTGTAGGTGTGTTTTAGTTCAGAAGGTGTATTTTAGTTGCCAGACTAACACACAGGACGAAAACACAGTCAGGCAAAAGTGGGGATATATTCTATTTAACCAATTACTTTTATGTAGAGTAAATAAAGTAGATGCATATTAATAATATGTAAAGAGCTTAGCGTGTGATACTGGGAAATAGTTTCGGGTCTTTTTCTTTTCTTCAGGAAGTTGTACTCCCCGAATCGTTACAAATGTAGTATTATGAAATTTTAACAAACTATTTTGTGATCTTTAAACAACTATATTTGTGAAACAGAAAAACAACACATGCATGCCATAAAGGAGTTTTATTACTTTACTCATTCTATTATCTATGTAGTTTATATACCTGTATTTCCATGCATATTATTCATTATTGATATTATTTACATCGGTCAGTCAGCTTCATTAAAACCTATATAAAGACATTATAGCCATGTCATCAAGGTCCCATTGAACATGCACGTGTCCAATTACAAGTTCGGGTTTCCGCAGTAACCTGTACATTCGTGTAATTGATTGGTACTATTTTAGCACCAGTGTTAGATGGTAGTGTTGTGGTGAATTCTCCCAACACAGTGCTAGTGTTATACAACTCTACATTTGTACAGCTGCCAGCTACACGCAGACAGTATACTCACATAAACACACGTGGTGACAGGGAAGTTGACCATCTGACGATGATACAAATTAACTGGTTTACGCATGTTTTCTCATAAAACAAATAATAATAATAATAATATACAACATTTATATAGCACCCTATATAATTTGTAAAATTACTCTAAGGCGCTTTACAACATATGGATAATAGTAATGGTTATAATTGTGAAAACAAACAACAAAGGCTTGCAATCACTTTCATACATTTAACAAGCATTGAACATAATTGAACAAATAATAAGTAAATGCGATGTATGCCGATTTTCGGGGAAACAGCTGGTATTGATAAACGCATCTTTGGCAGAATATGGTCACATATTTTCGTAATATCTGTAATGTGTTTCCCGAAGATGATGATATTGAGGATGAAATGAAACCAAATGTATTAGATCCATCCTGGATACCTGGATACCAATACAGCTTTGTAGTTACAACGCATCCATTTCCTCAGTCAACCTTCACCAGCATAACCATTTACAAATAGTTTACGCATATAAAGTACAGCAATCACATACACGGTGAAGTGTAACTGTACCTAAAGGCTATCAAAGTCTCCATATCATTTCTTCCTAATCCAATATGCATAATTTGTATTGAAGGTGTCATTTTATTCCGATAATCACAGAATCATATGCAATCAATGAAACTATTCGACGGAACCGTAAAAATATTAGTGAATACGTACAACTCCAATCGGGATCATATACATTGTAATATTGAATGAAAACGTCGACATGATATCGAATATCTATTTTGGTCTGCTGTAAATCCGTTTCGGTAGGAGGCTTGTCCTTGTATTGGCGGGAAGCGCGTGTACGTGAGGTATCGAAACACATGCTGCAGGTCGGCTCGCGAACAGCAAGATTGATTGAAGGAATTAGTCGGATTAATTGTCGTGCCAATCCAAGTCGACTCATTCAGCTATCTAACTTACGAGGGCCGTTCTAGGTCTACTGTGGCAACCGGGGGCTTACCAGACAAATTATGACAAATTCAACAATCGGGGGTAGTAAGCCGTTACACGAGCGATAATATAGATGCTACAAAGCTGCTAGGCCGATCAGGACACTAAAAAGACTCGTGAAAACAATACTAAGTAGTATGTGTACAGGTTTGTCTTGACATTGTCATAACCACTCTGCACTAATTAAAACTCTTGTAAAGAAATGACGGGCATAGCGAAGGTAAGCTTAGGTTACCTATAACAAAAGTATAATCTGATTAATGTTTAGGTTTGTGAGAGTTGTCTACTAGCGGTAGGATGGCCGCATTTCTCTTACAGAGGTCTGGGTGGAAGGTCCAAGAAGGACCAAGAGAGGCTGAAGTTTTGATAATATCGCACCGC